CTAAAGGTGGTGGCGGCAATAGCCAAGGTAACTCAAGATAATACTGGAGGTGCCCACGATGGATGCAATGTCTTACACAGATGGGACTGAATGCGTGGACCTTATACTCTCTTTGGAATGCCTGCTCTGAGATGCAGCTGCTTCTAGGCCCTGTCATCAAAAAGGCAGGGGCTACAGTGTGGGGAAGGCTATGGTTATGACTACAGTGTCCCAAGATGGAAGTGGGTTAGTATTGGGCTCCCAGGTGTTGGGGGGTGGGACGAACTCAGACCTACCCTGGACCTGGGTCCTGCCCACGTTGGTGAGGGGAGATCTGGTCCTGGCCTGACCTCCCACAGTAGTCTGTTGGTAGGAAGGGACAGTCCTGTGCAAGAGGCGGGGCTCCGGCAGGTGTCTGCTGGTGGTGGGGTGGATCGGAACCTACTCTGAGACTGGGTCCCGCACAGGCTGGTGTGGGTGGATCTCACACATGCTACTTCCTTATGTAAAATTTTGTACCACACAAATTATCAATGCTGAGAAAGGAGGCCAGCTGGGGCTTTGTTCCAGTGGCCCAGGAACAAAGTATCCTAGTTTGTTTGGGGCACTTTTCCCCTTGGGAGAAGTCGAAAAAAAAAATTGTAGCCCTGGAAGTTAACTATCCTACATGGAACTTGAACCTATATTGTGGCCTCCTCAGCATAGCCAGTAGCACTGATAGCAGCCTTTAGTTAATTCCCTTATCACTAACATTAACCACATTGTAGTAACTTGCATAATTATCTCCACCACACAACTATGAGGTTTGTGAGGGCACAGATCTATCTCTGTCTGCTTCATCTATACACAGGAGAATGAAAAAAAAAAAAAGCCAAATTAAGGTGGCTTTGACATCAGACTGGTTCATAGCAAATGATTGCCTCAAACATTCTGGAAAGTGTAAATACTTCCCAACATCCTCACCGGGGGAGATACAGGGTAGGAGCAGTTGTCCATAGACATCCATCTCACCAAAAGATCAATGCCTGAAGGCATTAATTCCCCTAAACCTTCTAAAGGGCAGGTTGTGTGTGTATGTGTGCATTGGGAAGTAGGGCCAATGAGACCCTTTAGGCCTCTGTAGAATCAGAAAAACAGAAAGCAAAAAAAAAAAAAAAAAAAAAAAAACAAATCAGAATGCAGGCTTCAGGAGAGACACTGTAAGCAAGAAGTGTACAAATGATATTTGAAAGGATACAACCTCCGCAGAGGAGTTAAGACACAAGATTGGTAGGATCAGCTAGAGATCCTGCTGCCACCATTCATCCTGAAGCAATAGCTGATAGTCTGTTTTGATGGTTCCTACTTCCTGGTAGAATTATTCCATGGAGACCAGAACCTCTAACCTAGTAGAGAAATGGGAAGCACAAATTCTGCCTTTGAGTTACTGGGAAGCATTGTGAGAAAGGCCAATATTATTTCTACTTCTTGGTTTCCAGGCTTGTGTATTCCAACTATGGGGGACGAGGGATAAGACCATATCTATCAGGAGTTGGTTATATGAATATAAGTATATTGGAAAATGGTACCACAACCTTTTTAGGGTATTTGATCTAAGCAAGAAGTCTTGCTGATGTTCACTAGACCATGTCAATGTTCCATTAGGCATCTACCTATAGATGGCCCAATGCGCCCAGTGTTCCAACTGCCTTACCATCAGTGCCTTCTTTAGTCAGTGGCAATATGTCAGAAAATTACATGTGCATGAGAGAATAGTGCTGACAAAGGCACTGTAATCAAGGAAAACTCTTTTCACAAGAGATGTCAACTCCATAACAATATACTACTTTTCCGCTTTCAATCCTGATGAAATTGTGGCCCCTGACCCAAACAACAATCTCCATAATAAACTCTAGTATTGCCTTTCTTCTTTGTCTCCCTCTCCTTTTTATCTACCATTTTATCTGAGATGATTTTCCAAACACCATCTGCACACAGGTTCTTGCCTCAAATTCTTGTTGGATGAAAAATAAAATAAGGGATATTATAGATTCTCTCAAAATTAGATGCCCCCAAATTTGGCGACTGATTCATTGCAGGTTTTATCTCCCACTCTGTCACACATGTATCTTCCTATGGTGTAGTACTTACCTCTTGTTCTCTAGGTCCAACATATATGTCAAGATCATAGAGGACAAATAAAGTAATCTGCAACATTTCATGACAATCAAGGTTCTTGCGAAACTAAATCATAATAGAGAATAGGAGTTATCCCAACCCTAGAAAAAGCCAGTGAATGAGTATTGCTGCTATTTTATAAAGAAGCCAACAGTCGTTGCTATGATTTACTGACAAGAACATTATCCAGATCAATAATCATATAACAGAGACCTTGCTTTTATTCTAGTAAAAATCCCACAGCTTGCACAGTACCTGCCACTGGGCTGTCATGTGGCTAAATTACAATAGTCCAGATTGGGCGATGTATTGGGGAACCCCTACTTAAGATACCTGTGGTGGCATTCAGGATTCTTCCTTCAAAGGATCTGTTTCGCCCTCAATTGATGAACCTGGGTGTAAGACTATTTTTACTGAAGCAGCTGATGTTAGCCTTTTGCTCACCAGTTCTGTTTGTTTCCTGATTAGGCAAGGTAAGTGACATGCTTAGGCTATCCATCTGTTTCCCCTTTAAGTAACCTGGTTGCCACTCTGCCTTTGCTGCTTTCCATAGTAATTATATCCTCTTGCTTCTGTTGGCTAAAATCTTCTACTGGGTTCCTGCCATTCTGTAATCCTATCACCCTTAATGCCCCTACTAAAATTAAGTAGCCCACAGAAGCATTTCCTTATGTTTCATCTTCATCCTCAATCCACTACAGGTAACAGTCTTAGTAACTGTGATGTCACAGCACACCAGGGGCTATCACCACCTTATTTGCCACCAACAGAGTTCAAGTAACCTAGTTCCAGAGTTCTGAGGGTCTGTATTATCAGTATCATCTTACATAAACTTTTTAGCTAGGTATTCCCCAGAAGCATAACCTAAGAAAACCTACTTGAATGATAACAGGTTATTTTGCAGATAATCCTAGTAAGAAACAATAAAAGAATAGGGAGAAGGGTACAGACTGTGATAAAAGACTGTGTTCTTGAAGTTGCTGTTATGGGCAACCAGAACTTAGTTTCATTACAACTACCTGAGATAGTCACAGAATAGCCTACCAAATTGTTTTGCTGAAGGATATAAAAAATTACCCCAGATGAGTTAAGTAACCAACACTTCAAAGCTGTGCATAGCACACACTGAGAGAGCTACTGATGGTATCCTCAAAGTCAGAAGAACCTTGGGACAGAAAACATTGGTCTGGTAAACTTGAGAGAAATTACTGGGAGAAATGCATGGAAGCTAGCAGGATGCTGTTTCCCCCCAACCCAACCAAGGCAGAAATCAGAGGTGATAGTGAAAATATGTGAATTGGGGCACTAAAGGAAGAAAAGGAGGAAACAAGCCCTGAGGTTGTACCTGAGAGGGCCATGTTCCGTGCAGAAGGAACAGTAGATAACAAAGCACTGATGCTTGGTGTGCTTGGAGAGGGTTAGATGGATGAGTAGCTTGGACATGACCCACCAAAAACAAGTGATAAGCCAAGGTAAGGGGCTGTGAACTTGGAGTAAAATTGTTAGTCATCAAAGGGTTCCGAGTAGAGGAGCAGCATATCCTATATCAGATTCTAAAAAGATCACTCCAGCTGTTGAGTGGAACTAAGCTGTAAAGAAATAAAGGGGACACAGAAGACTCTTGTTTGATGGCTACTGTGATGTTATCTCTTATACTGTAAGTTTTATAGAACCATTTACATTCTCACATGTATCCCATAACTCCTTTGGGGCAGAGAGCTCATAGTTACAATTTACGGATTATGTATATAACCTAGATGTATGCCCATTGAGAAATAATTATTGTATAAGTAGCTGACAGTAATATTAAATCTACATTATTTAATTACAGTATATCACTGAAAGTCTTTGTCTTTTACAATCTCTTTAGAAAATGTAAGTTTTCTAGAGTATTTGTTTCAACATTTGTAAAATGCTGATAACTCTGGCCTACTAAGATTAGTAAGTACTAACCTGAAAATGCCTAATCAGACCTTTTCTTTCTCACCATAGCTGAGAGTAACAATTATCTGCCTTGTTGTAATACGATCCCTCGCTTTCAACACAAAACATAAACTCTGCAGTTACTGCAAACTTCCTGAAAAATTTTAAAAGTTTACACAACTGATTGCATTCTGACATTTATATTAATCCAATCCATCCCTTTCTTGGCACCTGACGCAAGGTCTCAAACACGGACCCTCTTCCTTAGGGTCATTTTTTTTTTTCCTTTTTACATCACTGTTAATATAAAAACCACTCATCATCAATCCCATCTTTTTACTTCAGTGCACCTCGGGGAGCACAGACGTGGCCTTAAGTTTCCAGGGTTAAGAAGCAATCAAAACAGTGCGGAGTTTGACAGGTCCCGAGAAACTCCGGGGCTGTAGCTACAAGCTGAATCACAAGATCAGAAACCAAGTTTCCTTCCACCCACCCCATTGAAAAGGCAGGTGCGTCTCGGGCGTTGCACCGCCGCATCACCTCCCTGAGCCGGGGTGCGGGGAGGAGAACCCAGGGATCTTTAAATCCGGGTTCAATATCCTCCCCGTGGCCGCCTTCTCAAATTTCAGTCCACGGCCGCCTACGCGGAAGTCGCCTCCCCAGAGGGCACCGAGAGGCCTGAGCACACCGGCGATACCGGGCCCCGAGGCCGGAAACACGCGGGACATTGATAGTGTTCTCAGTGGACCTGCTACAGCGCTGTCCTCTCACGGGCCGGCCCTCCACGGCTGAGCGCGTCCCACACTCGGAAACACACAGAGCAAGCGCTGGAGGCCACGGCGAGCGCGTCGACGTCGGCCCCGGGCCTGGAGGGGGCGGGGTCGCACTCATGCGCACGCGCGCAGAGACACATAAGCGGAAGTGGCGCATGGGTGCCGGTGATGAGAGCGCCTTCCGGGGAGGCGGCAGCGGCTGTGGAAAGTCCAGAAGTAGGAGAGGAAGCGGAGGAAGAGGAGGTGATGACGACCGACTTGGGGAGGGGGCGACGTTTCGTCTGGCCGAGGCGCCGTCCGGGCTAAGGTCACCCAGGTGACGAGCCGGTTTGGGGGTGGGCGTGCCCCCGGCGCCCTTCTGGTGTTTGGGACCCAGAATCTCTATCCCTTAAAGACCTTAGACATTGCAGGTGTCCCCCTCGCTGAAGGAGCTTTCTAGGAGCGGATGAGGTCGGGACGGCAGGAGCGGGTGACTTCCTCTTTAAAAAGGAGCCGACACCTCCGGGTATGGTTTCCTGGGAGGAGCACCTGTTTCTCCCAAACCCGTTACCCTCCTGGGGCTGTTGGGAACGCCTTCAGGCCACCGTGGACTCCCTGGGAGGAGGCCAGCCCCAGGGCTCTCTGGGCTGTGCACCTGTGGGCCTCTGCAGGACTGTCAGGCTCCTGCTTTTCCCCAGGACCATCTGCACTTAAGAATCACTTCCGGGTTCCATGTTTTGAGGGGACTCCACGGTTCTCTGATGCCCATTTCCCTTGCCCTGGAAGGTGACTGACTGTTCTTGCCTTGCTATTGAGTTTATGTTACTAGAAGTTCTGCAAGTTCCTCCAGTCTTTGCAACTGATTTGCTACCTCTGTCTGTTTTTCTTTCAAAGGAATGTTGAAAGCAGAAGGGGGAATCATTTGGTGCACCCACAGAATTTTTTTAAGATATCGGGCATCTGCATTTCTTATGCAGTAGGTTTCCCTGTATCTAGAAAATCCAACGGATTTTGAAAAACAATGGTTGTGACAGTTTGAAACTTGGAAGAGGATGCAATTACCCTTTGAATATAATTTAGGTAGTATTATTTGTACTTAATTAATACATAAAATCCTAATTTTAGCATTTTCCCTTGGGGGGAAAAAAAGTAACAAATTGGCACCGTTTCTCGAACTTTGTATAATGAAGTGTGTAAAAAGAAATGAGACAGAATCTTATTTTGTTTTTTGGTACTCCATAGGCCGTGGTTGATATACAGTGCAGTTAATCAAGGGAAAATTACACTTTTATTTCTAACATTAAGTGTGGCAAAATACGGAGTCATGTTTCTCAGGTTACTTGCATAGTAATGACAGATTTTTCCTTACGTGCTACCCCACCCCACCCCCCTTTTTTTTTTTGTAGTGGGAGTCTTTCAGATTAGAAAAGAGAGATTAAGAAATAACTAATTTTTATTTCCTTAGGTCATTATAAGTCATCACTATCACTTTATAATTTTGAAATATCCAATATGTACTAGAGATGCTACCTTTTAATTCCATTTTAGCTGTTATTTGTACCTTCAAGGAACTAAAGGTAGATATCTATTTTGAGTTTAGGAAGAGAACTCAGGCAGTGATTCACACTTGTGGTTTTCTTTTCTATTTTAGTTTCATGGGTTATTGTGAAGTTCTAAGGCAAAGCCAGATATTGTTTGTTTAATTTGAAAACTATTTTTAATTCCTGTTTCACAAAGACAGGCTCAATTTCTTTAGATGTTAGTTTATATCAGTCCTTAATGTTTTAAATGGAAGGGAAATGGCCAACCTTGGGCATCATTACATGTATATAAATCATGCTGAAAGAGGCCTTCATCAGTCATGCATTCTGATCATCGGTGTGCAGATTAATAACACAAAACTACATTCTAAAGGCAAAGCATTTAAAGGGTAGGTTTGGTGGTACTGATGCATCAAGCAAGAAAGGGAAAGAAACTTATTTTCATGTTCATTTCAGGTGCTTTGTGGAAAATTCAGGGGAGATGTTGGTATTTTTCTTCATGCTTAGAAAGGATAGTGCTGGAGGAATTTAACTGCATATGTGGCCCAGATCTGCAGTTCTGAGGTTGTAAAGAAATATGTTGGGAGAGCTAAAATGATGGAATGGAGCAGAATAGTGTTGATTCAATGATGGTTACTAAAGTGCAAGAGAGTCCTTCATTTAATATCTGATATTTTTGTTATATGCTTGAACAGCCTGTGAAAGCAACATCATCTCTTAAGGAACTCATATTTTTGGAGGAAAAGCACACACAAAAGTCATGCCATTATGATTTAGACATTTGTAAATTATGTTTACCTATTACATGTACATAAACCATGCTGTAAAGATCTAGAACAGCAATTAGTTTTTAATGTACAAGGTCTTAATCAAAGTTGCAGCATGGCCAAATTTCGTGTTCATCAATGTGAAAGATGAGGAGATTATACACAATCTAATCTGGAGAAAATGGCTATTTGATGGTAACGTCAAATATTTTAGATATACTTGTGGATGTAGAGTCAATAGGAATCTTTGCAGGGTGTAAATGTGAGGAATAGGAAAGAATCTTAAGGTAACTCCTGGACTTTTGAGTTTATGTTTCATGCTAAGTAATATTACATGATATTGGGAATATAGGAAGAAGAAAAGATTTGTTTTCAGGGGAAAATAAGTTCATATTAGGCCATGTTTAATATATGGTGACAGTAGAATTTCACTGAGATATCAAAGAAGCATTTGGAGAGAGGTCTGGGAAAGAAATACAGATCCATATTTCCAGTTGCACTTCAAAGAGTGAATCAGCTTCAGCACAAGAGACCACACCAATGGTATTTCTAAGTAGTTGAATAATTATCACTGTTTTAGTCGGCCTTTTTGCTGCTGTGACTAAAAGAACCCAACCAGAACAATTGTAGAGGAGAAAAGGTTTGTTTAGGGATCCTGGTTTCAGAGCTCTTCATCCATAGTATTCTGGCTGGCTCCATTCCTTGGGGCTCAAGGTGAGGAGAACATCATGGTGGAAGTGTATGGCAGAGGGAAACAGTTGACATCAGGAAGCTGAGAGAGATTCCACTCTCCAGAACAAAATATATACCCCATAGCTTTGCCCCCAAGAAACCACTTGGTCCAGCCACACCCCACCTGCCTCCAGTTAATGTTCAGTTAATTCCATCATGGATTAATCATCTGATTAGATTAAGATGATTCGATCATTTCTCCTCCAAACTTCACATTGTCTCGTGAACTATTGGGGGATACCACATCTAAACCACAACAATCACTAACATACATGTACTGTCATACCATGTACTGAAAACTTTTACATTTATTTCATATGGTCACGGCAAAAATCCTATGGTAACCATATTTTTAACACTTTTCCCGCCCTATTCCCTTCTTAGAGGTACAGAACTTAAAGCTCAGAAAGGTTAAATAATTTGCCCAAGACTCCCTAGCTAATACATAGCAAAATCCAATCTTGAATTCAGATCTGTCTAAATTAAAGCACAATGCTATACTGCTTTCTGAGAAGTATTAGTTAGAATTGTATTCATGTGCTTGGCATTTTGCTGAATTACATACATCACAGAAGAAGGTGACTTTGAGAGAAGTTTACCTTCTGGAGAAGTATTTTGATATGAACAAAAGCAGGAATGAGATTTTATATAAGGTTTATTCTATACATGTGTTTCTCCAAATTCTGTAAGATTTTTGCTTACAGAATAAAGCTTGCCAACACCATAGCCCGTTTCAAACAGAGGGTGACGATTACAAACTGAAGTTTGAGAGTATCGAGAGGAAGGACCAGTTTATTTGCTTTATCCAATTATTGGATGCAGAGACTACAAGAGTATGAATCTTCTCTTTCATCTGTCTCTTCCCAACTGGGGGAGTTAGGGAGGGTGTCACGAAGGAGACATTAAAGCTGAACTTCAAAACCTGACCCAGAGAAAGGAGACCAGGTAAAAGGACATCATGACCAGAGGGCAAGATTATTTGAAAGTCCATGATGTTTTTCAAGAATGAAATATTGGTTTAGGCTTTATTGAAAGAAGTGAGAGAAAGGGAGCTTAGAAGCCTATGTTCTGCCAGATATTTTTAACTGGTGCTCTTTGCCCATGCTTATACATAGCAGATAGTTGTTAAAATTTTTTGTTCTTTATTCAAGCATAGGTTTGATGAAATGTTTAATGAAGATAATTTATTTGTATTATGTTTTTATTAGTACATTATAATTATACATAACAATGGGGTTCACTGTGATATATTTATATTTGCACATTAAAAAATCTTGCTGCATTTCATTTCCCAGTACTTCCCACTTCCCTTCCTTCCCCAATCCCTTTCTTTATTCTACTGGTCTTTCTTTTATGTGTTTACTTTTTTACTTTTTTACTTGGTGCATTATAATTACATATAAAAGCAGGATTCATTAGAGAAAATAATTTAAAGCAGTTTATAAAGACAATCACATCTCAAGGTTATCCTACAAGACAGTGTAAAAAGTCTTAATTGAGAGAGAGCAATGATTGAAACATAACTGAGTAAAAGAACAAAGTAAAGGAAGAAAAAAATAAAGAAAAAGAAACAAAGCAAAACTTTGTAAAACTGCACATTCTCTGTTTAAAAACATAGCACAGACGGTATAAAATAAAGTGTTTTGGTGACTGAAGTGTTCTTAGCTACAAGTTATATTCAGAGCCTCAGCCCTCATTTAAATTAGGGCCTAGTTCATCTTTGTGAATCAGTAAATTGGGAATGATCATAGAGGCAACACTAATTCTTACTATTTTAAACCAACAGTTTCTATTAAAAGATTTCCAAGTGAAGCTCACTGTCAAAATTATACTTATCTCTTCAGCCCTTGGTGTATAAATTTTCATTCTCACTGGAATCATAATAGTCTTTTCTAGAAAAAAGGTATTTCCTCATAAATGTGCTCTAATCTTTAATTGTCATTAAATCTTGAGTCTCTTCAACCTTTACATGGAATTTAAGTTTCAGTTTATTGAAATCCAAAGAGAAATTGACAGTCTTCCATGATGCCTCATACTTTTTTCCCCCAAAGACTGACAAAAGATGACATATTTTCCAGCCTTTTACACCCCGGAGACTTTTAAAATTAAAATGATCTCCAAAAGAAAAAAATATATATTTTATTTTAGCCTAAGAAATGTTATTACTAAAACATATTATTCATTCTACAGTCTCTGGTAAATTAGCTTTTTAAGCAACTTACAGTTGGGCGACTTTTAAAATGTTACTGGCAAATAGATTTTACAGTTGTTCTAGTATTTAAAGGAACACCACTTATTCTTGACTGTTCTCCAAGTAAAGATTAACTTTAATGTTGAGAATGTTATGCTTACACTATTGTAGATTCTAAAAGTTATCTACTTACTAGATATGAAACCTTAACCTCCTGCTTAATTCTTTAACAAAACAGATTAGCTTTTGGTTTGTTGCTATGGAATGAGTGTGGTCTATATCCAATTTAGTGATGCAGTTGCTCTCTCAAGTTTATACTTGATAAATTGGCAGTTAGGTGTGGTGTTTTTGGTTAAGAGGCTGTAATTGAGAAGTTAAGATAGTACATCCACAGAATTAGCCTCATCTACACAGTTTTATAGTTTAGATTAGTATTTGGAGCAATACTTTATGATATAAATGTTTTACTTTAATTGCATATTTCCTTCTCTAGGACTTGGCACAGCAAACAGAAGAATTAAACGAAATACAGCAAACCAACAGAGATAACTCTGGAAGCCCTGAATGCAGCAAAATAAGAACAATGGACCTCAAGTTTAACAACTCCAGAAAATACATCTCTATCACTGTGCCATCCAAAACCCAAACAATGTCACCACACATTAAGTCAATTGATGACATTATAGTACTTGGCATAAATCTCAGCAAATTTAACAAACTTACTCAGTTTTTCATATGTGTTGCTGGAGTTTTTGTTTTTTACCTAATTTATGGATATTTGCAGGTAAATAGTTATTTGTTTGTAATATGTTAATCATTTATAGCAGTTAATTTCAGTATTAGCACTTACTAAAAATTTTGTCTGTGATATTTTTACTAAGAGTTTACCAGTTGATTTATAAATTTGAATTTTTCATAGAGTAATACAAACGGACTTCTTGAAAGGGTTAGTGAAAACAGAGTTTCAGAGTAAATTATTTTAAGTGGGGAGGGAAGATGATAATCTTTAAAAATTTAAATTATGAAAATATGTTTTTAAATATTCAACAAAATGTAGATATTTGCAGCCGTGTGTTAGTTTTTAAAAAGAAGAAAATTTCAAATATATGTGATACCTGGGAACATAATTTTCCAATAAAATTATAGCACAATTCTCAATTCTTTGAGCTCAACGATAAAAGTCCTTTTTACAAAAATAGATCACGATATTTTAATTCATCTATAATAGACAAGTCCTTTTAATCTTTTAATAGTCAAATACTTCTCATTTTAACTTGTATTTTCTCTAATTCCACTTTGCCAGAATCTTATCTGTGATTTTTGTTTATACAGAACACTTCTAACTAACATTGCAATAGTTTGTTTTGTATTTGCATTGTATTTTAGGATAGTTCTATACATTTGGCTTGCAGCAAATCTCTAACTTTCAAAAACATGGGCTGGATGAGTGAGGTTCCTAGCTAGTAAAAATGTTATAGTGGGAATCAGTGTTATTAATGGCCATTTAATTAATGAATGTTTTTATCCTTTAGTGATTTAGATTTTTAATACAACTCCATAAAGTGAGAGAAGCTTTGTAATTCAAGAAAAGGAATGAGGTTTTCTGAAAACAGTATTTCTGGCATACATTAATACTAATAAATAAAGAGTGATTTCAAAAATATTACTTTTTCATTGTTTTATATAGATGAATTATAAAGATAAATGTAAATAAAGAAGGTAGAATTTTGACTTATTTAGCTAGCTAAGAGACTGCCATGAAGAATATTAATGTAAACCAAAACATGAACTAAAAATATTAATATTTACAATTGATTTCCTATTAGAAGATGATATAACTTAGACATCATTATGAATAAGAGTTAAAAATAGAGATTGGAATTTCTCGTTGAAATTTTTTTATCCTTCAGTCTTCCACTGTTAACAAATAGCTTGGCACCAAAGGTACCTATAGCAAAGGAAAATGAATTAGAAATTCACCTTACAATTTCATTAGATGCATTTTTCATATTTGATTAATGATTAAATATTTTCGTTAATAACCAGTGGGTGCAGAGTTTTAAATTGGAAAAACCACTGCAAATTCCATTTGTAGTTTTACCTCTTTTACTTTGTGAAATTGACATTGTTCTTCGCTCTTGTGTATAATCAGGCATTGAAATAGTTCAAGGAAAATGGTTGAGGTTTGCTAATGTGACATATACATACATGCACACCTGCACATAAGGTAGGCAGTTTGATTTATTCATTTAAAATTAAGCCAGATAATTTCAGTAAAATAACTCTTAATGACTTGTTAAAATGACTTTCTAATAAATGATGTAAATGTGATTTTATGATATAATACTGTGTTTAGGGAAAAGTTGTACATAATCTGGGGCACAAAAATTTTGAAAAATTATATTATTGATTTGAACTATGTTTCTGTAGAATAGCCCTAAGATGATAGACTTCTAGTGAAATCTGTTCTTTATACGTTCTTGAGTCAGTCACCTCTTTCATTGTTTTGGGCAACTTTTAATTGTGGTGTGTATTTGCTTAAATAAAGAAGCACATCATGTTGCTTTGTATTTTCTGCTGATTTTCATACTTGGGTATGTAGGGTCAATTCTTGGCGAGAACTAATTTCTGACTTCTCTGAGGTACTATGGGGTAGGGGACTATGGCTTGATTTCTTTTAAAATGTTGTTTTTATGAGAATTTAACAAGAGTAAGTTGGTCTATCCACTTGAACTTAACAGTATCCATATGTCTTTTGACAGGAATTAATATTTTCAGTGGAGGGTTTTAAGTCCTATGGCTGGTACCTTACTTTAGTGCAATTTGCATTTTACTCCATATTTGGCCTAATAGAACTTCAGCTTATTCAGGATAAAAGGAGAAGGTATGTAGCTTGGTTTTTTGTTAGTTAAGTTCACTAGTATTAGTTGAATCTTCTTTTAGAAAAAAATTAGTTTGTTAAATATGCATGAAATGTATATTTCCTATTAATGTTATAATCAGCTTAATATAATTTTCTTTATACACTGATGCTCAACTTATGGTAAAATATATCTTTCTGAACAGAAATATGTATATTTTTATAAAGTTCACTAAAATAAGTGTAATTACAGGAAGGTTTAGGGTGCAGCTGACATGGAAGTAATGAAGTGAAATATCTGTTTTTGTAGAGATTTTTTAAATGTGAAGTTAATGTTTTGTGGGATATATCCAACTAAAATGGCCATGGAACATCCAGTAGCTAAGATTTTCACTCTTAAACATTAGAAAAACATACTTCATTACTTTTTGTTAAAATCTAAGTGGCTGGTTTGATAATATTTTTCAAATTAACAAATATCTAGAATTGAAAAATTTATGGCATATTTAACAACATGCATGGAAACAGTCTCTGATGATGAATAGAAGGTGGTTAGGAATTTGTGAAATTTTGATAAATGCAAGAAGAGTGGTCATTCCTTTATTATCACACCCTAATATTGATTTCACATATCTGTTGTACAGTTCAAATACAATAAAGACTATAATATGGGCATTCTGTTTTCTTTCATGTAAATGTTTAATCCTTCAGTAAAGTGAAAATTTTTTTTAATTGAAAAAATTTTCATAGCTTTTTTTTTTTAACAAAAAAATGATTTTGTGTGATGGTAACTGTACAATTTTAAGTATTTAATTCTGTGACATAAGATTCTTCCTGGAAGAATCTGTGACAAGAGTTTCTTCACATATCCAGTTTTGCCTGCCAAACTCTTTACTGCCAATAAACTGTTATAGTAAAACAAAAATATTTGAGTCTGAGAATATCATCTTCCTTATTTTCATGCTCTGAAATCATAACATATAGCCATAAATGATAGAATAAAAAGCAATGAAATATATCTATCAAGACTAATATGTAAGGAAACCTGAAGATTTGTTAGCGATTGCAAACTCTTGGGCTTCCAGTTGCTTCTAAGGTAAAAAAGACAATAATGCCGTATTTGTTAAGTGAAAAGTTACACAAAGATGATGTATCTCCTGTCAGATATCAGAAGGAAACATCTCCCGTTAGCTACCTAGATGAGATGGTAGTGGGCCATGTTTATCTCAACCTTTAAGCCATATGACCATAATGTGTTTTTAAAAGATAATTTGATTTAAACATAAGTGAAAGAATCTGGGAGAAGAATTTACAGACTTAAATGTAATTTTGAATTGACACTTTTTCCTTCCGAGGCATTTTAAATTTTAAAAACTGTCATTAAAGAAGATACAATGAAAATATGCCCAATCATGTATGACTTAATATACTTAATATTATAGTAGTATGTTTTTTAAACCTTTAATTAGCTAAACTGCTGCTTAGGGTTATATTCCCCTCCCCCATATTTATGTAAATAGCTGTGTATAGGAAAGAGAACAGGATTTGAAGTTAGAAAACATGGGTTTGAATCATTTTGGTGCTGCTGCTTATTAGCTCTGGCAAAACCTCAGGGAAGTCACTGAAATTCTCGATTTTATTGGGAATCAAATGTGATAATGTGTGCTAACACTAATCATAAATTGTAGCACCCTATATATGCTACTTATTATTTTTCACCAAAGATTAATTCCATTTTAATTACTTTGATTTTTTTTAACAAAGGAGATCTGTCGAATCAGATTTGAGAGGTTTTTGTTGTTGTTTTTGTTATAGTTTTGACACTACTTCTAAAGTAATTGAGGTATTAAATAAAATACAATGAGAATTCTAGAGGCAAAAAGCCAACTTTTTGGTAAAAAGCCAACTTCCTTATTTTATATATGAGAAAACAAAGACCTACAGACTTGCTGAGATTTTCAGGTCTCCTGGGTTTCAGGCTCTTTGTCTTTCTACCTGTGCTATACTGCTTTTCTAATCTTGTAAATTTTTTGACTTGAACTTTAATTTTCTGGCCACCACCACTGTTTTTGTGATGTGTCTGAGGAAATTTGATTTGTATCATTACCAGGGAAACTTTCACTATATATCTTCACTGATTAGGACAATGAAGTTTATGGACAGTGTGAAAATGTTTTGGGGTACTCTATTGTATATGAGCATATCACGTTATTTCCAGTGGATTTAAATATTGATTACTGTATTAGTACTTACCTGGGAAAGGTCTCAAAATTGAAATGTTTAGATGTGATAAATTGTAATTAAGTTTTCCTAGTTAATTATTTTACCTTATGTCTGACCATATAAAAGATATGAGGGATTGTTGTTGCTTTTGTTTAAACATAATCACAAATTTCAAAAGGGAAATTACACTTAAGTATGTAGCATCATCAAATTATGTGAATAGTGACTCATTGTGTTTCTAACACCAGTGTACAACATTATTATTTTAGACCATTAAATATCTAGTCAGTGTGAGCATAGGGTCACAATAATGACTTGAAATTCTAAAGATGCTAATAAGGAATCTCCTTTAGGAAATTTAGATAGAGCCGAAAATTAAAAGATTTTGAGATCAGAGAGTCAGATTGTTGTGACATTTTATAGAACACAGAGAGTTGATTTATAAGATAGTATAATAAAAATCATGTCTAGAATTTTAAAGCTCATGCACTTTTTTTCCTAAGAAATTCTGCTTAGGTTTATGCTAGCAGAACGGATAGATAATTTTTTCCTAATGCTAGATGGAAACATTAGGAAACAACAGAACAACAGTTTAGAAGTTAAATTTTTGTTGAAATTATTTTAGGTGCCTTTTACATTATAGAGGCTAATATTTTTTAAAGCAATTTCTTTTTCTAAATTTAGTCAATATTGTTTTTAACTGTAGCTAGAAATACTGTTTAAAACCCTTTGATCAATGTTTATACCTTTAGTAAGAATCTCAGTAACTTTTTACATAGTTGAGAGTCCTCATTTATGATTAGTTATAATAAAAGCAAATTGTTATTTTATCAGTGTTCTTTTATATAAGTGTTTCAACTTTAAGAGTAGTGATATTTTTACTCATATTTACAGAAATATTAACCAGAAATTCGAAAAGCAAAGTAGTATGAATTGGGTCCCCAAAATGAAGGTTTTAAAAATTGTCTTTTACAGAATACCAGGAAAAACCTACATGATAATAGCTTTTCTAACAGTGGGTACTATGGGGTTATCAAACACTTCCTTGGGCTACCTGAATTATCCCACCCAAGTCATCTTCAAGTGCTGCAAATTGATTCCTGTTATGCTAGGAGGAGTTTTTATTCAAGGTATAGTAATGATATATTTTCATACTATTTGAAACCAGTAGGACATGTTATGGCATCTAGCATTAGGAAAACACTAAGCATCTATCATATTTTAGTGAGTATCTAGGTATCCTAACAGTTATAAGGGTATCTTACAAAAGTAAGGTATTATAAAAACATAGATACTTCTCTGATATACCTCATCTGGAATCAATAATTTGGACTTGAGAGAAAAGAATTTTACTTTGAAATTTAGGCATTTCTAGCAATACTGTATTCACATATTGAAGATTTAGCTCAGAAGTACCTGCAAAGTTCCTTTTCTCAATTCTTTTATTCTACTCTTCAGAGCCCACACTCAACCATTGTACAGTGGGTAATTGTCATATTAAAATAAGGCTTAGTCTGAGTGGGTTACTAACCCTGCTAACTTACTGATGTCTTGGAGCCCCAGCTAAGTTTAAAAAACATGAAAATATGAGAAGAGGATCCACAGCAACTAGCAGTATATCAAGTTGTTCTACCTGTTAGCTGTCATGAGGAATATTCATGTTTCAATAATTGTTTCTGTATCACTAAATGTCGTATATAGCAACATTTTTATTTTATTCCTTCAACGCCTTCCCAATAAGCCTTATACAATGAAAGTGTGTTTTATAGCAACTTGACATATCATCATAGGGCAGTGGTTCGTGTGGGAAAAATTTACTTCAATCCATATTAAAAAATCACACTTTGGCAATCCCTGTTGGGTCCCCTCCCACCCTTCTGGAGTTGTCTCTTTTTTTCTCATTTGAATAAATTCAACTCTATGCTTAAAAAAAAATCAAATCACACTTAACCTGATGAGGCACATATAATATTACTTATAATCCTTAAAAAATTATACTACGTTTCATTTTATTAAATGTGAATATCTCGTGGTATTTATAAACAAGGAAATCTTGCCTTTTAATATAAATCCATTAAAAACACTCATTTCTACAAAAAATTTTTAATACTTTCAAATGCACATTATTCTTGTCAGTGTTCACCAATATACAGTCATGTTCTACATTAGATGTTTCGGTCAACAGTGTACCACATAGGAAGGTGGTCACATATGATAGTATTGCCCAGGGAAATCATAACTGTTGTAGTCTGTGTAAGTATACTCTATGATATTTGCACAGCAATGTAATTACCTAAAGATGGGTTTCTCAGAACATATCCTCGCCATTAAGCAAATATGACCATGTGTATTTTATTCACTATCATAACAGATGATGTAGGATTCCATTTCTAACTTAAAGACATGCTGTGCCCATTGATCATTTAATCGTCAGAAGCCCTTCTGTGACTGTCTCATCCCTGGATCTAAGTGTTCTTTATATTTTTGGCATTGGATATTAAAAAACAGATCCCAGTTCTATTGGGTTAAGCACATAGGTCTAACATTAGGCTTGATGAATATTCTCATAATGAGGTGGGCTTACCTTTGTTTTGTATAGGAAAGCGTTATAATGTTGCAGATGTCTCTGCTGCCTTATGCATGAGCCTAGGCCTCATCTGGTTTACCCTTGCTGACAGCACAGTTGCACCTAACTTCAATCTGACAGGTAAGGAATTTATAATTCTAGATTTTATAGGCATTTTGGTTTAGAGTAAGAACTTCTAAAATTTCACAAGGATTTTAAATGATGGTATAACATCTGTGATTCACATATCTAACATAAGGCCTTTAGACGTTTATAGGCTATAGTAAAAATATCACAACTCTGGAAATGTAAGTTTTTGTAGTACCTTTTATTTCAACATAATGAGGCTGCCCAGTCAAAATCTTTGATGATCAAATGTAGGTTAGATTAATTTTTTACCTGCTGAATTATAACTGTGCACATGAGTAATAGGGGAAATACAGTAGTCATTGTTTCTACTCTCATTAAAAAAACAAAAAACTGAGGACTGAAGATGTAGCTCAGGTTGTGGAGCACTTAGCATACAAGAAGTCATGGGTTCAATCTCCAGCACCATCAAACAAACAAACAAACAACAACAAAAAAAAACTTTGAAACTTGTGCATTTATTGTCAACGTTTGTGCTAAATGGGAAAGATATGCTGTACTTTAATATTAAACTATGTAATGTATATATGAGTATTATCTGAAAGTGCTTAAATTTTCTACCAAAAAGTTTTCTCTTTAGTGTGCTATGTAAAATTTTACAAATTAAAGTTAGATTTGTCAAAAGCAGAAAAATTTTTATAGGATGTGCAAAAATATGAACAAAAAATAAGTGTGGGCATCCTGTTCTTATTCTAGTTTACCTTTCAGATAAATTGTTTTGTGGTATTATTGGGGTTTATTATATATACAGTGCTGCACTAAAATTATTGAAATAATTTTACTAATAATACTAATTTAGTATCATCTCCTAACTTGACAGACTTTTAAAGTATCTAGGTCTTCAAAGAAGCTCAGAGAAGAGCAAAAAAGTAATAATATCACCAAGTATAAAGTGTAATTGTTTCTGAGAAAAAATAATAAACTTTCACATAATGAAAAAAATATGTATTTTCCTAAGAATCAAGACATATTACCAGTTGTCAAGTTTTCCTCAATACCCTGGCTGGCCAGGCTGAGTGAATGGATTTCAGTGTAAACAGTTCTGCCTCTCAAAACACCCACAAGAGTCTGGTAGGACCTACTCCATCTGCTCTTTAAACTTGATTATAAGCACTCACTGCTTATTTAAGAGAATGCTGTGAATTACAGCTGTTCTTGTTATAGTCTATATTTTTCAAGGAATGCTTAATTTTCACAAATCAGAAACTCTAAAGATTGTGAAATCAGCAGGAATTGATTTTTTTTTATTATTTAGGAAAAGGCAATGTTGAAAAAGGTACATAATTTGTAATGAGAGTTGTAGATTCAAATTCTCTTTGAATTATTTAAAAATAAACAACCATGAGTAAATTACCACACCTCTTTAAGCTTCACCCATAGAACAAGATAATGATAAGTTGCCTCACACAGAGCTAGTGGGAAGGGGTATACAACAGACACTAGTGTGGCAATATGTAAATCAATGGATGTGTAACTGATGTGATTCTGCAATCTGTATATGGGGTAAAAATGGGAGCTCATAACCCACTTGAATCAAATTGTGAAATATGATATATCAAGAACTATGTAATGTTTTGAACAGCCAACAATAAAAAATTAAAAAGAAAAAAAAAAAAAAAGATGAGGGAGTAATGGGTGTGAAGCCATATGCAGTGAAGGAGTGGGAGGTGGGGCTCCTGTGGCACCATAACTTCTCATTTTACCTCTGGTGCTAGCCCCTCCTAAGTTTCAGCTGCATATTTTTGAAGAGAATTAGAACCCAGCCATACTTCATGAAGAATAATTATTGAGCGTTTATCCCTTCTCTGATCTTTGTAGAATGTATTACCTAAAGAAGATGTGATAAAGTGGCCATTAAAGAAAAAACTTTGAAAGGAATAGTATAAACATCCAGACTTGCTCAAATAAAAATTTTCTTTAAATTATTCCCCTTAGAATACAATTGAAGTGTTTTCATGTTATTGCCATTATTTGGAATATTTTGGGGATTATCTTTGAATAGCCTTTCAGGAGGTAGGAAATTCCTTTGAAGATCCTCAAAAACCCATGTCTTTCAATATTTGAAACCAGTAAAAGAGCATTCAGCATCAAGTTTGGTACATAAAAATGTATGATTAGGCAGTAAATAATAAAGCTAGAACTTCTTCCTTAATACAGTAAGTTTTTTCAAACATATAATCTACAGTGAGAGTGAAACTCTTATTTAATGTTGAAATGCAATAATAACAGCATTAGTGTGACTTTTGTTTGTTTTAATATTTTCACCTATGTGCTTATTGCATCTGATTGTGGATAAGAATATTTAGCTTTACAGAGCAGGTGTGATTGAAAACCTGCCTTTGCTTTTTAGTCTATTTAACGTCTGCTAGAACTTGATTATGGTCCATGTGTTTAAGTAAAGAGACTGTTTCTTTTACCTTCTTGAAGGTGTCATGCTTATTTCCCTGGCACTGTGTGCAGATGCTGTCATTGGAAATGTTCAAGAGAAAGCTATGAAACTGCACAATGCTTCTAATTCTGAAATGGTAAATACTCAAGTGCTTTTTCCTTCGTGTCAGATTAAAAAATGGTAATGTGCTTATTTTTATGAAATAGAATATCAAGGACTTGCCTTGCATTTTTAAACTAATTTATTATTGTTTTCCTAATCAGTCAGGCATTATAGGAAGGTAAAAAGAAAAACTACCACTACCACTACTAACAGCTGCCTGTATATTTAATCATTTTTTTCTCATTGATTTATAGTTTTTTTATCCATTTATAGAACCCTTTGTCATGTCATTTTATTCCCTGCTTTGTATTTAGTGTTATTTTCCATGTAAAAGTTTATAATTTTTATGTGGTCCAATTTATCTTTGACTTCTGGCTGGGAATTTTCCTAACTTTAAGATTTTTAAATATTTTACCATGTTGTCTGGTTTTATGATTTCCTTTTTTTTGTTAAATCCTAATTCAGTCCAAGACTCTAAAAATATTTTTCTTTCATGACTACTCTTTTGTTCCAGTTACATTTATCAAATAAGGCCACTTTCCAGCTTATTTTAAATGCCTTCTTTATAATGTCATATTCTAATGTACAATAGATTTCACTTGAATTTATTTCTGCATCAGTACATATAACAACAGCAGCTTTACCATACCTTTGCCATCTGTTAGGACTAGCCAGCATTGTTCCTTTTCTTTTTCAGAACATTACTACCAGTAGTAATTCTTGGGTGTCCATACTCCCCCCTAAAAAAACTAGAAATCCCATTGGTATTGTGATTGGTATGGCATTGAATTATAAATTAATTTAGGGAGAATGGCATCTGTACACTTGATTCTTTCAGTCCAAGAATAAGGTATGACTTTCTTTTATTCAAGTGTTGTTGTTTTTTTAATGTCTATTAAAACTTAACATTTCTATCATAAATATCCAACACAGTTCTTATTAAAGTTATTGTTAGGTGTTTCTTTTGCTGTTGTTATTGTAAATACTTTCTTTTCTTTCAATGTATCTTCTAACTGGTTTTATATCTAGGGGGGGAGAGAGAGAGAGAGAGTGAGAGCGAGAGCAAAGCACATTAATCTTATAACCAACAACCTTCATAGACAGAATGCATCGCATTAAGGATATAGAGGAGTATTCTTTGCTGTTACTTTCTCAGCACAGACTGGTGCATCTTTAAGTACATCCTAGTAATATAGTAACTTTATTCTTGATCAATAATTTTCTTGATCATTATCACTACTTTTTCTAAGTAAGAAAAAGATGTCCTAAGAGGGAATTATGGAACTGTAGGTGGTTAGAAAGTTAATAAAATGTAGTGGTTAAGATGTTAAACTCTGATAGCCTTAGTTCATATCCTAACTTTACTACCTCATATTTGGGAAAATACATCTCTAAGTTTTAATAACTTCATTTGCAAATTACTGAGGAACAATAGACTAAGAACCTGTTGCAACCAGGCACGATGGACACACCTGTAATCCCAATGGCTTGGGAGGCTGAGACAGAAGGATTGTGAGTTCAAAGCCAGCCTCAGCAACTTAGCAAGACTGTGTGTTTAATAAAATATAAAAAAGGCCTGGGGATGTGGTTCAGTGATTAAGCATCCCTAGGTTCAATTCCCAGTACCAAAAAAAAAAAAAAAACCACTTATAGCTTATGTTGGTTGTGAGAAATCTGTGAAGGAATTCATTTGGAGCAGTACCTGAGACTATTTATGAGGACTGTAATAAACAGAGATAAAATGGTTAGTAGGGAAATTAAGCAATAGATTATGCCTTGTACTGCTTATTTTCAATATATATTAATATCTCTTGTAAACTTAATGTTTGGGGTTCTTTTCGTGTTCTATAAGTAACTTTAATGGTTTCATTTTGATTGTATATATTTTTACAATGCTAACATTAAATCTGGTTTGTATTTAGTAATTAAACAAGGCAAAAAAAGAAATAATTATGCACATGTGTAAGAAAGGATTTGTAGTGCTGTTATTTGGTACATAAGATAACTTGTAGTGTACTTATAATCCATTAGGATCAACCATCATTTCCAGAGAGTTGGGCCAAATGGGAATGATACTGCTACAAAGGTTTTGTTTTCCAAACTTAAATAAATTAACTGAACTCTACTTAAAACCCTCAATTTTCTATTTTGATTTGATAGTGCTCTTTCCCACTTTATCTATTCTAGGTTTTATATTCATATTCAATTGGTTTTGTGTACATATTATTGGGATTGACATGCACTAGTGGATTAAGCCCTGCAGTAACATTTTGTTCAAAGGTAAATACTAATTTCATTTTTTTAAATAAAAATTTTTTCTATAATCTTAATTCTCCTAATTTAAAAAGGCTATTGTTGGTATAATTTGATAACTCCTCTAATATAATATTGTAGATAAGAAATGAAATGATAGATATTTGAATTTATTTATCCTTGCTATACCCTATTAGGTTAATTTTTAAGCAGTTCATAATGTAGAAGTTGAGAAATTTAATTTCATCATTATTTTTCCATTAAATCAAAACTAAATAATGTTTGCTTGACTGCATTGTTGAGTGGCTTATTATTGCTTAAGAAGTTAATTAAAATCTGTGGTTTTAGTTCATTTGTAATATGTCAGGTTTTGTATTTTTTTAACAGGCTTTTTTATTTGTTGCAGAATCCAATTCAGACCTATGGTTATGCATTCCTTTTTTCCCTCACTGGATACTTTGGAATTTCTTTTGTTCTGGCTTTGATTAAAATTTTTGGTGCACTTGTTGCTGTAACAGGTAGGAGGGATTTATTTGCTTAGATAATGAAGTAAGCATTTATGTTTTCTCTGATGCTGTTTCCAAAAGACAAAAAAGTTGTTCTGTTACACCAGTTTATTATTTGACTTAATAATTTCTTAAAATTTTTATTCTAAAGCAATTGATATTTCAATTTAATTTCTCGTTTTCAAATTTAAAACATTTTTTTTTTCTTTTTTGTGGTGCTGGGGATCAAACCCATGGTCTTACCTGCTGGGCAAGCACTCTTACCATTAAGCTACACCCCAGGCCCTAAAGGCTAAATTTTAAAGAAAAATGTGTGCACTTATCCAAATAGTAACTTTTAAATGCATTAAAAGAATTTGCTGTAAAAAATATAATGGGACGAATACCTTCAAAGAAAATATTACCTTTATACACTTTTAACTTATTACTGAAATTCCAGTTTCCTTGCCTTTCAAATATGATAGGTTCAATTTAAACCAAGCTTTTAAACCTTTCACTTGTATCTTTTCTAGTACAACAAGGTCTTTCTTTCTTCACTGATAATACTTATGCACCTGCTCAGTGCCAGGACTTTGCATGGCAATCTAGAGGAAGGAAGCTTGTATTTCTTGTTTTAGAGGAATGTCTAGTCATGTGAGGGGAGTCAGTAACTGGATATGCTTGTCATTTGCCAGAACTGAAATGCAGCCCTTATCTTAACAGTGTAGGCAGTTTTGTTTTGTTTTTTTCCTGTTCTGTGAAATCCAGAGGTGGTCATAAATAATACCTACTACACACATAGCCCTTATTATATTGAGAAACCATTCTAGATATCTTATGTCTATTAATTATTTTAATTTTTGCAACAGTCCTAAAAAAGTAGGCTCTATTATTGTTCCATTTTATGGAACATAAAATGGGCAAACTGAGGCACAGGAAAGTTGACTTGTCTGATACTCATCTAGAGACAAGGTTCCAACCAAGGCCATCTGGTTCCATGCCAGTGCTCTTGACCATATTCTGCACTGCCTCCCAAGCACATGTAGTAACTCCATGGTTATCCATAATCCAGTCTCCATCTATCTTCTGGGCCATCTTCATTCTCCCTCCCCTCCAGGCAGTGGGATGGAGTAAGGGAAGATGAAAGCTACACCTATCTCTTTATGGAAATTTCTTTCAAAAATTGTATTTCTAAAAACATTACTTCTGTTCAAGTTTAACTAGCCACAGCCTAATCACATGACCACACTGACATGAAGGAGAGACTAGAATTATACGAGCTAAAAACAGGTTCTTTTACCAAAAATAGATCCTGGAAATAAAGCCCTGGCACATGTTGCCGTAAGTTTCTTCATTTGGTGTTCATTCAGTCATGCCTTCAATATTGAGTACCAGCAGACTGTGGAGTGTGGGGATCCAAGCATGAGGAAGGGGAGAAACTACAGCACATGGGCTGACAGCAGCTGACTCTGCGACATGGAGGAAAGGCTGCAATGCAGATGTGTGCAGTGCCTACCTCTGCCTGGGACGAGGGAGAAAGGTTTCAGCCTTATGGCACACTTCCAGCTGTAACCCCTAGAAGGACAGGGAAAAGTTAATACAGACATGTAAAGAGGATTGTAAAAATTATTCCGTCTTATCCAGAGATCACCATTTTTAAAATCATTTTATGTCCTTTTCTGTTTTTAACAAAGAAGCCCACTCTACCTAATCACATCCTCCTTAGGAGAGAAAGCCGTTCTATTCTTCTGAACTGTCTTTAAGGGATGGTGTGGCTCCACAGTACCATAGTGTCCACTGCACACTTCCTACAGCTGTCCTTTAGCATTTCACTGTATTAAATATTCACGCTTCCCCACAAAGCCATAAACACAGTAGCAGGAACAGGGCCTGGTTGTTTGGTTTTTGCTTTGCATTGTTCCTGGCACCTCACATAGATTCTGGCATGTAGCTGGCTATAAATATTTATTGAATACAGATGACTTCCAAAATGTTACCATGCTAAGAGGTACTTTCTAATCAATTTTTTACTCCTACAGTGACAACAGGAAGAAAAGCAATGACCATTGTACTTTCCTTTATATTCTTTGCTAAACCATTCACATTTCAGTAAGTACTTTTTAATTGCAACAAATTTCTCTATTTTTAGATATCATTTCACATTTCTTCTTAAATATCCTTATTTTCAACTTTTTTAACTTTTTTGCAGAAAATATATTGATTTTGTTTCGCTCTAAAGGTTTTATTTTATTTTTTAATTAATTTATTTATTTTAATTAGGTATATATGACAGCAGAATGCGTTTTGATTCATTGTACACAATTGTGGCACAACTTTTTATTTCTCTGGTTGTATACGATGTAGCATCACACCATATGTGCAGTCATACATGTACTTACGGTAATTCCACCATGTTTCCTGCCCCTATACCCCCTCCCCATTTCTTTCTCCCCTTTGCCCAATCAAAGTTCCTCTATTTTTCCCATGCCCCTCTCACCATTGTGGATCGGCATCCACTTATCAGAGAGAACATTAGGCCTTTGATTTTTTGGGATTGGCTTACTTCACTAAGCATGATATTCTCCAACTCCATCCATTTAACTGCAAATTAAAAGAGAATAATTTTATTCTCTTTTAATATTGAGTAATATTCTATTGTGTAGAACAGTTTCTTTATCATTCATCTATTGAAAAGCATCTAGTTTGGTTCCACAGTTTAGCTATTGTGAATTGAGACTGCTGTAAACATTGATATGGCTATGTTACTATAATATTGCTGATTTTAAGTCCTTTGAGTATAGACCGAGGAGTGAGATAGCTGGGTCAAGTGGTAGTTCCATTCCAAGTTTTCTAAGGAATCTCCATACTGCTTTCCATATTGGTAGCACCAGTTTGCAGTCCCACCAATAATGTATGAGTATCCCCTTTCCCCCACATCCTCTCTAACACTTATTGTCTGTATTCTTGATAACTGCCATTCTGACTGGTGTAAGATGAAATCTTATAGTAGTTTTGATTTGCATTTTTTTAACTACTAGAGATGTTGAACATTTTTTTTTTCATATGTTTGTTAATTAAATGTATATCTTCTTATAAGAAGTGTCTGGTCAGCTTCTTAGCCCATTTATTGAATGGGTTGGAATCTTTTTTTTTTTTTTTTTGGTGGTGGTTTTTGCAGTAAATTAATGTGGGATTTTTTTCCTGTTATGCTCTATAAGGAATTGTTTTCATTTTAACCTCTTATTGATATCTTTTTCTGTTTTAGAAAGGTTTATAATTTGTTATTTCACATTTGTCATTTCGTATATTTAAATTGCCAAAACAGAGCCCAGTGCAAATGTGACCCTATTTCCTATATGAATGTGTACACTGTTGACATTAAGGGATTACCTAATGCCCTGGTACAAATTAATAAATACATATTTACAGTATGTGCTTTTAAAAAACTACTTGTTTATTTATGGCCTTTTTCACAAAGGATTTAAATTAGAGAAGTACTCTGTAAGTTGTGTCCTAGTGACTTAGTTTGTGGCTTTTTGTGAAATTGCTTACTGTTCTCTTTTTTGAGTGATATTTGTTTGAAAATAGCATCATGAATACTTGATACAGAACTTTAAAGGTAACCCTAAAAAAAGTTTCCATCAGTGTTTAATAGATTATTAAATTGATAATAAATTGATTTTCCTTTCTGCATGAGCTAGGTATACATTATAGTAATTAAATTACGCTTACATGTCCCTTTTTATCCTTTTGTATTCTGTACAACTGGAATAGCTGGTTGTACTGTGGAGTTGAATTCCCAAGATGGCTTTTAGTAGATTTATATACTCAATATTTTAAGCATAGTCTTAATACTTTGGTGACAGTAGTACTATATGCTATTATCCACAAAGTTCAGATGAACCTCATTGCATATGATACTTGGTATTTTTTATATCATAAAAGATATGGAATTCAAGCTAATCAGATATAAGAATACTATGTATTTTCATGCTGTTATCACAGGCCTCTAATACCAAAAAATTTATTTCATTGAAGAAATATTGTAGACTGATTATCAAATTCTTCTGTTAACAAAAATTATTACCTTGTGAAGTTTAATATTCTTTTTTTCTTATTTCTTTCATTTAGGTATGTATGGTCTGGTTTATTAGTTGTCCTTGGCATATTTCTCAATGTTTACAGCAAAAATATGGATAAAATAAGACTACCCTCACCGTATGATCTGATAAACAAGTCAGTGATTGTAAGAAAGTCAAGGACGTTGGCACAAACTGTGTAGGTACTGATTTGTCCTGTTTAGAATTTTAAGGGAACAATCAATCAACTTTCCAAAAGGACTGTGATAAAAACAACCAAAGGATCTGAAGGTATGCTTTGCATTTCTGGATGGATTGCATATGAATAGTGTTGTGGTATCAGCTGTTCTTCAGAGCACCTGTTTGACTGACTTCTGATGCAATCAAGAACCACATCTAGCACACCTTGCAATTAAATGTCTACATGAAGGACTGACTACTCCTAGCAGTTTCTTGAGAAGTTCACTGGAAATGGACCATGATACAAGACTTTTTGGATATCATTATGAATACCAAACACTGATATGTAATAGCACATTGTTTTGTCTTCATTCCATTTTGGTGGTATTTAAATTGATTCTCTGTTATAAGAGTAACTTATGATTTAAAGTTTGGAGAGAATAACATTCATTATAAATAAAATAATCTTATGATTTTTTTAAAGGAATATGTTAATAGAATTTTGTTATAAAGACAGAAGTGAAAGTTGTAATAAGATTTAACATGAGCTTTAAAACCTTGGTCGGTCTCTTATGAGAATATTCTTCCGAGAAAACATGCCTTAAGTTTTATGTAGGATATAGGCAAGATAGTAAAAGCAGTCATCATCCTGTGTCATGTAAGTTTGCATCACATAAATAATTTGCTACTCTTTACAAAAGAAGTACAGAATGAATGATTAATTGAAAGGAAAGAAGTGTCTTAAGTTATTATAAAATAATGAAATTTTCTAGTTTATCTCGTAAAAGTAAGATGTAATTTGGAAATTCAAAGATGAAGTAGGATAAATTTAAGAAATACAAGTAGATTTAGCAAACTTGGGCAATATTTTCTCTCAGTCCATTCAGGCTACTAAAAAGATACCATAAAATACCATATACCAGATAACTTATATACACCCAGAATTTCTCACAATTCTAGATTCTGGGCAGCCTAAGAGCAAGATACTAGCAGATTTGGTATATGATGAGGGCTGCTTCCTGATCCTTCAATGGTGCCTTCTTGCTGTGTCCTCATATGGTAGGTGCTAATCCCTTCACCAGTGCTTTCTGCCCTCATGACTAAATCACCTCCCAGAGTCCACCTCCTCATCCTATCACATTACAAGGTAGGATTTTAACACATGAATTTGGGGTGACATAAACTTTCTTATGTTAGCGATGTTGTTCACTTAGTTTTTAAACTCCTAAATATTTTGACCCTTTTATACATTAATTTTTGGAATTGCTTCCACAATTAAAAATTCTAGCCAGGCATGGTGATGCACACCTGTAACACCAGCAGGTGGGGAGGCTGAGGCAGGAGGAACATGAGTTCAAAGCCAGCCTCAGTAAAAGCAAGGTGCTAAGCAACTCAGTAAGACCCTGTCTCTAAATAAAATGCAAAATAGGATTGGGGATATGGCCCAGTGGTTGAGTGTCCATGAGTTTAATCCCTGGTATCCTTCGCCCCCCAAAATTATATTTGCCTTCATTTTCAATATAGTCTGTGGTGATGGAAGTATCTAGCACAAGGAATTCTGCTTTGGTTTTTATGTGTCCCATTTGTTAAATATTGTGGGAATCATTTTTAAGTTTTCATATCTTAAATGGAACCAGTCAATTCCTGTGGGTTCAGATTTGACCTAGAGATAAACTGGCCTAGCCATAATTCTCATTAAAACCATGTTGTACAATGAGGGATTTGACTGGGCAAATTATCCCTTGTTCCTGGGAGACAACCTCTAAATCCTTGGAATTCCTCAAGTGATGAAGGTGTTAGTATTCATGATCATCCCCTAGGGAGTTTCAGAGCTGAAGCTGGCCATGCTAGAAAGACCATAGAATTGGATCTTTGAGCCACATGCTATCAGTCCAGCCTCTAAGGAAAGGAGGTAAGCAATTTAGGAATTGATTTGAACATCTGGGAACTGATTTTTTTTCATATGTTTTGAAAAAGTTTGTTGATGTATATCTTAATTGCAAAGAATATTTTTTGAGGGGCTGGGGTTGTGGCTCAGTGGTCGAGCGCTTGCCTAGCACATGCAAGGTGCTGGGTTTGATCCTCAGCACCACATAAAAATGAAGAAATAAAATAAAGGTATAAAAAATATTTTTGAATCTGTAGCCAGAAAATATTTATAAAAGCAAGTAACCTTTACTGTCTAAAAGCCACAAGGAATTATTGCTGGATTTAGAAAAATAATAGAAACAAATGTTTGCAGTGGCATCATTGACACAAGGTCAGGGGACTAGTGAGAATAGTAAGTCACAGACATACACTGAAATTCTACACGTTAATCTTCCTTACGTTAAATTATTTTGTTAACTTATTTCTTAGCAGTGTGCAAATTCTTACAGAAGTGAAACACAGGTAGTATTTTGTGTGCCTGTTTGTAATTCTGAGGACTTGTTGCTTTACAAAGTTTCAAGAACATTTAATTAACTATTCCCTTTCTTTCCCCATTCCTCTACATGTTGCTGATTCTACTTTTATCTGTATATTTCTGAGCTGCCCTGTCATGGTTTCCATTTCTGCTGTCTTGCTACTTCTGGGAAGTCTCTCGTTCCTGTCTTTAGTTGCACTGCTCTCTTCTGCATCTGTTCACCCTGCCTCATTCCATTCATTGTGATGGTATTTTTGATATTTCAATTACATATTTATACCTAGTATTTCCACTTGAATTTTTTTTTTTTTGACTTCTTGGTTTTATTTAAGGATGCCAGTATTTTTCCTTGTCTTTACCATGGTTCTTGTAAATCATGGGCCCCCTGTCCTAATCATTCTGTTTCCAATGGCAGATACTTTTTCAGTTGTGTTTTGCAGTTATCAGACACCCCAGCATAACTATTGGTAGTTTCCCTCCAGCTGCCTTCTGCATTTGTGCTCTCCTCTGCTTTCAATCCAAAGTTAGGACAGCCTCAGTCTCCCCCAAACCTCGATTTTTGGTATTGTTTTTTCCTAGAATCCACCTGTCTGTCTGTTCATCTAAATCAATCAACCCCAACTCCCATTTTACCAAGGTTGGTTTTGGAAAGGAAACTTCTTCCAACTCTTTGTCATAATGGTTTATACTACTGATTCACAGATTTACCAGTCAGTTACATATAAATGTTGCTTGTAGGCTGCAACATTCTGATTCAATTTTATTTTAGAATTTTTTTTTCATTTACCAATTTAAATTGGTAGAATTCAAACTTAAGCAGTAAGATTTGTAATGGCTTACAATTTAAATACAGATTTCAAATCTGACAAAAATGAAATGATGGAAATATAAAATATTCAGTTCTAGCAATAAACTTATTTCATATTATGTCTAATTAGGTGAGATCATTTTTAATCCATATGTATAATCATTTAAGATTACAAAACTTTAAAACTTTGATTATTTGAGATGACGCCAGTTCATATGGCTTGTAGGAGTTCCTAGTTCTGTCATCTGGTATATATATCATTAATAAAAATAAAACGAGGTAGGCAGGAAAGAAATAATTTGTGTCTCACAGACATAAAAATAGGCTTCAGGAAGATCAATGATGTACCTAAGATTGACATGTAGCAAGTGGCAGAATGGGCCTGAGTCAGTGTCTTTGAACCTGGACCCTAATGCCTCTCTGATGACCCACTATTCCAGAACCCATTCCCTTTCCAGCCCACCACACCAGAAGGTTAGAATTGACATCTTGCAACTGTTTGCCCTCTGAAAGGACATAACATTGATTACTTGCCTTCTCTGTCACACTTAAACTGGACAAGACTTTCCAAGGACTTTTGTAGACCATCCTGCTGGTGTACCTAACAACCCACCAAAGGGGACTCTTCTCCAACCAGGATTTGGGAGGATGGACATACAGTAGTATAGTGAAAAAGTATTCTCTGCCTGTTATTCTTGATCAGCCAGATGCACCTGTGCATGAAGGAGATGGCTGTTTAGAGGTAAATACCTCAAGTAATCCTACCTGCAAGGGATGGGCTCAACAACAGAGAGGTGCTTAGGGTCAACTTGGAGAGGGGGATAGAATGAAAGGACCAACCCAAATCCAAGTTTCAGTTGAAGTGGATCCTGAGCAAGAAGCCAGACAAATGTAGTCAAGACAAGCTGGAAACAAAATATCAGGCAGAAGCTTAGTCATGAGAAAAGGTAGAGAAGGTGGGATCCAAAGTCATGAGGAAAACAAAGGGAATCTGACTCCTGCAGCTTTGAACTCCAATGACCTCTTGTCCTCCCTGTAAGAGATCAAGATGGGACTAAACCTAACAACAAGGGGGCAGGGACTGAAGGTCATTAGCAATGGAAATTTTTAAGAGATGGAATATAGGAACCAGATAAGGAGTTTTGCTTAATGATTTTATACAACTCTACTGGTAGCTGGAATCATTGTTACCACAACAAGTAAGGGGAGAATCTAGCATTACAAATCAGCACTTCTGAATGATTGTCAGTAATGAGAGCTGGCATAAATTGCTTGATTTTCCTATGCTTCTTCCACCACATGAAAAAGAGGTGATGAAAACCACCTCTCCATTACTGGATTCTCTTACTTAGGATAGCTCTGTTGTAAGTGGTATGTAATTTGAAATTATTGTATTTAGAACTCAAGCATACAACTTAAATGATATGATTTGTCTATTATCTTCCAATTAGGTGTGACTATTGAAATGAAGTGGTTATAATGACGAGGCTTTGCTATAGCCACATGAACAGAAACTTTTCCTGACCAGCAGAGCATTATCATAAGTGGTTCATTTCTGATTTTCTAAAAGACATTGACACAAATGTACCCAAATTAATAGTGCCATCTCAACTGTCTTTTCAGAGAGGTGAATAATAGCATGGAACCACATGGCCCACCACAGAAGTATGGATTATCAGCAACTGTGACAACACTGAGAAAAATAGTAAGCTTTTTTTCTTTTTCCTGGTGACATCCATTGGCCAAATATGTATTAGATAATTTGTAGGGCTCTTAAGAGATACATACAAGTGCCATTGCTCCTATACTCAGTTATCTCTCAGTTTAGTGAGGGGAAAGAAACAGGCAGGAAGTTATGGTATAATAATTTCTATACTGTGAATATGTATGAAATATAATAGTATTACTCAAAAAGACTTTCTCTAGAACATAGCATTTAAGCAAATTGTGACAAGAAATTATGAGGACCTAAGTAAGGACTCAGGTATTAGGGCTGAAGAGGGTGGAACTAATAGAAATATCTAGAAGGAAATCATAGGATGACTTGTGGTCCTGACTCAGAACACTGGATGGATGGTTTTTGCTGACATAAGCAATCCTGAATAAACAGTTTATGGGAATATTAAAAGAGTAGCTTTGGACATGGTTGAGTAAAGTCTTAACTTTGGAACCTCTAGATGGACAATTTCAGAAGAGAACCTGAGAGTTTGATGGTAACAGTTGAAATAATGAGCCTGAGTAAAAGGACCAGTGCACTTTTATACGTGAAGAGAAT